TTTTTTTAGTAGTATTTACAAACCTTTGGCTCTGGTGCTCTCGGTGCATTCATTGCCACAATGAACTTGTACCCAGGAAAATTTTCCTGGAATCATGTTACTCTGGAACACGCTCAGCTGTGGTTGACGTGTCACTGCAGGGATGTGATGAACTGGGCTCAGGTTGCAGGGCAGGGAAGGTGCCAGGGAAACTCTGACCTGAGGGGTCCCTGTGAGCCCTCCCTGTGCCAGCGCTCCTGGGGCTGCTCCTGGGGCTGCAAAACTCCGACCCCTTGCATCAAGGGGAGTTGAGAACAGAGTGAACCACTGAACCACTTCCACTGCTGCCTTGAACCGTGTCCCTGGCCTGGGACACRACAGTTCCTGGTGCTTTTTTCATGAATCTGAAGCAGAGCCTTCCGTTGCCTTTTTGTCCCCGTTGGAGTCGCGTGTCCTGTGCTCCCGCAGTTCCAGGGCTGTTCCTGAGGGAGGGGCTCACCCTCGGGTCGGTGTTACTGGGTTACAGTGTGAGTCCAGTTGTGCAGTGCTGCCAGGGCTGAACTCCCTCGGTTCCCTGCCCGGTGCTGCTGTGGAGCACTGCCCTKCATGGCCTTTGGTGATTGAGGAAAGGAAAGGAGAAGAGCAGCTCCGTTGTCTGAGCTGTCGCACACTCAGAATGCAGCAGCTCCATGGAGTTTGGGGAGAGCTGCACGGTCAGACTGAGCCACGAAACCAAACCCTGTCCTGTCCCTCCTCAGTGATCTCCTTCCCCGCCCCCCCTTGCTTTAGTCCTCAGTTGTTTTAAGTATTCCCTGTAAAGCTGCTGTGAGCCCGGAGAGCTTCGAGCATTCCTGGTGTGCCAGTTCCAGCTGCTGTGCAGGAATGATCGAGTGGCAGTGCTCTGCAACTCTCAGTGTCTGCTCCTGGGGCAGGGGGAGATCCTTCCTCAGCTGCAGCACAACCGTGATTTTTTTTTTCCCCTGAAATGTTTTGGCCAAAACCGTGCAACTGACTGGGGTCATTAAATGCTCATTTGTAACAAACTGAATAAGGAGCCCTGAGCTTGCTCTTTTCCTGCCCCGCTCAGAGGAAGGGAAAGGACTGAAGCACAAAATGCCCAATGTTGAATAAATGCCCTCTAAGCTTGTGAGCTGTATTCACTGCGTTTAGACACGGATTCCTAAGCCTGACTGAAATGATAGAGCTTCTCTCTAGTAGTGGAGAAAGCTGGGGACCCTGGGCTGAGCCTGCAGGCTGCTCTGTAGGGTAGGAAAGTGTTTCCGATGGAATTACGCTTGGASCTGCCCCGGGAGGGTTCATCCCCTCCTCCCCCTCCACAGCTGGGAGTGTTTTACCCGCTGCAGGACCCAGGCCCTGGTCCGAGCTGTAGCCTTGGGCTATAKGGGGTTATATGGGGCTGTCATTCCCACTGCTGCTGTCCCCAGAGCTGCCTCAGCCCTGGCTCTGGGTTCCATAACCCAGACAAGACCTGGGAGCACCCTCACCAAATGCACTGGATGGTTCCCATCCCCACTCCTGAAGAGGAGAGTGAGGTGCTGTCCCCCTTTGATTCCTCATCCTCAGCACTGGGGCCAGGCTGTCCCTCCGATCCCTGCTGGGCCCTGGCTGCTCCCAGGGCTCTGCCTTTGCCTCAGCAGCTCTCAATTCCAGAATCCTCAGKGGAGAGCTGGGACTGGGACTCGGCCCGGGCAGCACAGGGGCACTGCACCCCACTTGGGTATGGAGCTCTGCTTTTGTGCCCACCCTGAGCAGCTGCATTTTGGTTCCTGAGCTAGGACAGAACAGAAAYGAGCAGTTAAAGCTGCAGTGAAATTTTACAAATAAACTGGGCATCCACAGAGCTTGTCATGGAGGTTTGGGAGTGGGGTGGCTTTGGGACCTCACCCAAGCACTGCTGTGCCAGAACATGGATGCRTCCAGCTGCCACCCAGGCTCTGCTTCTGGGGCTGTGGGCACAGACACACTTTGCTACAGCTCCTGGAGGAGATGGTGCTGTGAGGGGACAGTGCTAGACCTGTGAGCCTGTGCTGGGTCCCTGTGCTGTGACAAGTGGCCCCGGGGCCACTCACCTGCCTGGGGGCAGCAGAGCCAGGCCTGCAGRAGAGACCTGGGGGCTTCTGCCCCCTCACTGTGCTGGACCTCAGTGTCCAGCCAAGATCTCCCAGCACCCACCTCACTGCTCCCCTGGGGCTGTGTGCCCCTCAGCTGCCTCCTGCTGCCACCAGCGTCGGTGGGATGTCACCCACAGCTCGAGCTGGGACACAAACGCACGGCTCAGAGCACATGGGGTGAGACCCATCACCCCTCACTCCATCACCCCTCACGTCCGCATGGAGGGCCAGCCCTGCTGAGCCCCAGCTGCAGTGCCTGGCCTGGCCAGCCTGCCTTGGCCTCTGGCCCCTGTGTTGCCCATCCGTGCCAGGAGCTGTGGGATGGAGCAGTCCCTGGCAGCCCTTGGGGTTCGTGTGGGTCTGTGCCCGTGGCGAGGGGCTGTTGTGGGAAGCAGAGTGGGGCACTCGGGGCTCACTCCCTACCCCCATCGGGCTGCAGGGCTTCTCTGCCCTCCTCCCTTACCGGCCCCAGGACAGGCTCTGCAGGGTGCTGGCAGCCGTGGGGTCAGAGGCTCAGCCAAGGGCTGCTCCTGCCCCAACACCCCCTCAAGCTTCAGACTGGAACGAGCAATTACAGAAGCCTCTGTCAGCAGCAGGCAGCACCGCCAGGAGCAGGATGAGGCATCACCGGGGGTGCCGCGGGGTCCGGTGGACACAGGGAGGACACGATGTGCAGACACGATGTGCCTCGCTGGCCTCACAAACCGGGGTGATTGGGGTGATCCCATCCGCTGGCCCCACAAACCGGGATGATTGGGGTGATCCCATCCGGTCACGGCTCAGCCCCCCCCTGGCACAGCTCTCCCCTCAGCCCCGGAGGAGCAGCCGCGGCTCTGTCCCGGGACAGCACCCACTGCCTGTCCCCCTCACGGCCGGGGCTCAGCCCGGCGCTGCCTCAGTGCACCGACACCGCGGAGGAACTTGGTATCCTTTTATTTATAAACAAATCGACRTAAAATAAGTGCAGAGGAAAGCCCTGGCTGACCCCGGCGGGGCCTGGCTGCAGCAGAAGCGGCGCCGGTCACACCGAGGGGTCCCGGGCCGTGCTGGCAGCGAGCAGAGCCCCCAGCCCTGGGCTGGCAGCGCGGGCTGCGCTAGAGGACAAAAAGCCTTTTGCCTTTTTATTACTTTGGGGTTTGGGGTATTTTTTTTTTTTTTGCAACTTTGCCCCTTAGGGGTAAACCTGACTCAGTGCAAGAGCCTGGAGAGTTGGTCACCACAGGGGCCCGTCCTGCTGCTGGCCAGGCCCTCGAGGGTGCCGGGGAGGCTGTGAGCTGCGGCTCCGGACGCACAGGGTGAGCTAAGGACAGGAGAAGGAAGTGCTTGGAGTGGAGATTCCGTCCCAGCCCTTTGGTCACTGCAGAGGAAGTGTGTGTGTGTGGGGGAGAGGGGGTCYGTACTGAGGTGCGTGTGTGGGCACACGCTGGGGACAACCCGGGCTGGCCCCATCAGCCCTGTCCCATCAACCCTGTCCCGTCAGCCCTGTCCTGTCATCCCTGCCCAGCTCAGCCAGGCCCATCAGCTCAGCCCTGCCCAGCTCAGCCCAGGCTGGTGCCAGTGATGCTCTGGAGTTGGGCAGCCTCTGCTCCACTGGCAGCTGCTGCCCAGGGGACACTGTGGTGGCACAGCTGGTGGCTCCACTCCTTGCACAGCTGCAGAAACATGTCCAGGACCATGGGAATCACTCAAGTGCCATTAAAAATAAATACATTAAACTGCCTGAGACCAACAGGTGCCTCGGGCAGGGCAAAGCCCTTGCAGAAGAGCAATGCCGGGACAGGTCACCACCCCGGGATGCTCTGACCAGACCCAACACCTTCCCTCTCGCACACACTGAGCTGGGAGAGACCRAAACTCTAGAGGAGCAGGAGGGCCCCTGGGAAGACAAATCTTGGCAGCTCTGGCTAAAAATCACCAAGAGTTTTGAGTTCAACACAGGTAGAAAAATCATCTCATCRTTTTAAACAGACAACTCCTTAGAAAAAAAACTCCAAAATAAAAAAAAAAATGAAAAAAAGTGAGAAGGATCAGCCGAGTCCTGCAGCATCCAGGCAGCCTCCGACACAGCCCAGGCCCATCTGTGCCAGGGGCACAGGAGGCCCAGCCCTGCTCCTCGGCTCTCCCAGCTCGCTCCATGCTCCCACACAGCCTCCCCAGTCTGGAATAAATATGGAGGCCTCTGGCCCTGGTCTGGTGTGCCCAGCTGGAGCCAGGGCAGGAGCTGGGGGCAGGCAGAGCCGGATGGATGGGCTCCCCCAGTGAGGAAGATGGGCTGGGCCGTTGATGCTCTGAGCCCGCTGCGGTGCCACAGGGCCGAGGGTATGTCAGGGGCACAGAGCCCCTGAGGCTGGGCAGTCTCCTCCAGCCCCCAGGCAGGCGAGGCCGGGAGTGCTGAGCCACRGAGAGAGCGTAGGAGCTGCTGCAGRTGCYGAGTACCCATGGGCACTGCCCGGAGCRCGGCTCCATCCCAGGSCAGCAGGACCAGGAGCCCAYGGAGATGCRCTRGCTGGGCAGCAGGGAGAGACCCTCYGATGCCCACAGCTCGAGTCCGGCACGAAGCCCAGCTGTACCAGGCTCCTCCTGGGCACCCATGGCCTGGCTGGGGCGGGCAGGACCCCGAGAGCCCGGCCGGGCGTCGGGAGCGTCCGTCTGCGGCGGAAGGGGGTGTGTGCATGCGAACCTGTGGCAGGTGAGCGCGGGTGGGGAYGGCCGGGAGCGGAGTGTCCAGGATCCATCCTGCTGGGAGTTCTCTCAGAATTTG